TCAAGAAATTACATGTATATGTATTCTGATCTGTTAACTCCCACACCTGGTCTTAAGTAGCTGCTTCATCTATTTTGTTTGATATTAGATACGAATTTTGTGCTACAATTAAATGGACCAGACTCAGTGAATATTCTAATGTCAACAATTACACTATGATCCCTATTTAAACCACTGAGCAGTGCTGACCACCGTGTTATTGGTTTTGTCTAGTTTGGGCACAACACCTCCAGGAACTTATACAGTGATCACTGGCCTCCCAGAGTCACTCCTCTAAAGCCATCCATCACTGCTCCTCACACCACATGGATTACAAACCCAGGTTCAGGTAGGGGCTAAAAATAAGATGTAAAGATAAAAGAAGGGATTCATACCCTGGTTCAGAAAGGGCTAATGAAGGTGTAGAGGGTGCAGAAGGCGAAGACACAAGACACACTAGCACATTCAGCAAACAAACGCATCTAAACAGTATCAATACAGTCCTGCTCACCATTATTGGCACCCATGAAGTTTAAGTACATATAGTGGAATATTTTTTGAAGGAAATTCATCAAGTGAAACAACATTTTACTGCTGATAGCTTATGCTCAATGCAAAACAGCAGATGATAAAAAACATTTAAAAAGATAAACATTATGAGGAAAACAAAGAAAAACATAATGTTTACCATGTCAATGGTATTGGCACCCTTTGCAGCAAATCAGTATGAAAACCCAATTCGGCTCACCTGTTGCAAATCACAAACAAAGATCACTTGCGATGAACTACCTCCACACATGTGACATGAATTAACCAATGAATGATCATGTTGGTACTTTAAAATCCACCTTTTAGTCCATCTTCACATGTGACAATGGTAAAGACAAAGGAGCTGACTGAGGACACCAGAAATGCTATTATTTGTAAGCACAAGACCTCCAAAGGGTATAAAGCCATCTCCAAAGACCTCGGTATCCCTGTTTCAACGGTGCCTAATGTTATTAAGAAGTTTTCCAGGCATGGAACGGTCAAGAACCTCCCTGGACTTGGGGGGAAGAGAAAAATTGATGACAGAAGTCTTCGACGGTTGGTGCGAATGGTGGAAAAAACACCACGTCAAACATCTAAAGACCTAAAGACCAACCTGGAGCAGTCTGGTGTGATTGTTTCAACAAGTACTATACGGCGCACACTAAACAAAGTGGGGCTTTATGGGCGGAGGCCAAGGAAGACCCCATTGCTGAAGAAAAGACATAAAAAAGAACGCTTGATCTTCGCAAAAGAGAACCTGGACAAACCTCAAGCCTTCTGGGACAACGTTTTATGGACAGATGAAACAAAAGTGGAGCTTTTCGGTAATTCACACAAACAATATGTTTACAGACGGTGCAATGAAGCCTTTAAAGAAAAGAACACCATACCAACAGTCAAGCATGGTGGAGGATCCATAATGCTGTGGGGCTGCTTTGCGGCATCTGGTACTGGAGGGCTTGACCGTATCACAGGCATCATGAAATCAGAAGATTATCAAGCAATTCTAGAGCGAAATGTCTTGCCCAGCGTAAGAAAACTTGGTTTGAGGCGAAGATCCTGGGTCCTCCAGCAAGATAATGACCCAAAGCACACCTCCAAAAACACGCAGGCATGGTTGAAAGGGAAAAATGGACTGTTTTAAAATGGCCAGCAATGATTCCAGATCTCAATCCAATTGAGAATCTTTGGAGGGTGCTGAAATCTGCCATTGGAGAAAGGAACCCTGCAAATGTACAAGAGCTTGAGCATATTGCAAAAGAAGTGTGGGAGAAAATGCCACCCGAGAAGTGCAAGAAGCTTATAGATGAATATAAGAAACGTTTGGAGGCTGTCATTGATGCCAAAGGCTGTGCAACCAAATATTAATGAGGGGTGTCAATATTACTGCACATGCTGGTTTTCTGTTTTGTCCTTTGCAATTAAAATATTTATGTTGAAATGGCAATTGTCTTTGTAAAATTACTTTGGACCTCAAATTGAAAGATACTGCTGATTTAAGTTTTGAACATTTCCATTTATTTCTGAAGATATTCACTCAGCTATGCAAAACATGAAGGGGTGCCAATAATGGTGAGCAGGACTGTATATGTTATATAGGATTTCCTTTGTTTAGTGCTATCGTCGCTATTGTTTCCTGACTAATAGCTTACCCTTTCTATTAGTCCGGCTTTCTTGAGGCCTCTTTATGTTTGCTTTTAGATAGTTTTTTAAATGTTATAATATTGAATTGGTATTTGTTTGATAGCTGGAGGAAATGTTTTAAAGCAAGATTTATTCTTTTTATATTTGCCTATTCATGGTTTGTCTTTTTTTTTTAATTATGGTTACTCCCTTGGTTTCTTGCATTTTGATTTTCTTGACCTGACAGTTCTTGGCCTTTTGTATTGTGTTATTGGCCAACCTTATTTTGCCCATGCATTTCGAGTTTGTCAATGCTCCGTTTCCCTGTTTAGTCATCAGCTCCACTTCCACATGCTTTTCCAACTTAATCACAGTCACAGCTGCAGCCACTCAGATTTTTTATCCTCTAGGCATCTCCTGTAGCAAGTTAATCATTTTTCTGTTTTGGTATTTTGTAAGTATGGGCGGCACGGTGGTGTGGTGGTTAGCACTGTCGCCTCCCAGCAAGAGGGTTCTGGGTTCGAATCCCGGGGGAACCAGGACCCTTCTGGGTGGAGTTTGCATGTTCTCCCTGTGTCTGCGTGGGTTCTCTCCGGGTTCTCCGGCTTCCTCCCACAGTCCAAAAACCTGCATGTTAGGTTGATTGGAGATTGGGGAAATTGCCCTTAGGAGTGAATGTGAATGTGAGTGTGAGTGGTTGTTTGTCCTTGTATGTCCTGTGTGTGGCCCTGCGATGGACTGGCGGACTGTCCAGGGTTTACCCTGCCTCTCGCCCGTTGACCACTGGGATAGGCTCCAGTTCCCCCCGCGACCCCATGAGGGAATAAGCGGTATTGATAATGGATGGATGGATGGTATTTTGTAAGTTTTGTATATATAAAACCAGGTTTTTGATGTTGCAATAATAAAAGCAAATACTGATGTGGTATTTCTGTGCTATTTCATGATGCATGAGCAGAGATATAACCTTAATGTGTATTCAGACAGATGTCTCAGAAACATAATTTCCAGACAAAGAAATCAACTTTTCTTTTTTTAATTAAACCACCATGTTATAATGTAAGAACTTTTAGTATAAATATTACAACCTTACTTTTTCTTCTGCTATCCATTTCATATGTAATTGTTTATTAAATCGAATCTTCTATAAATCATCTATTAATTAGTCATTCAACTTATGCTCTTGACAAAGGGCACTTATAGTGGTGGGATATCTTTCTCCTGCAACATTTTCTCTGACAGATTTGAAATTGATCATTTGATTATACCATCATACTAACCATAGGATAAACTGTGATTCCAATGTATTTTTAGCTTGATTCTTGTCCTTGAATAACACAAAACAGGGCCTTCAACAAATACTTATAAATTGTTACTTTTTTTTAGTAATTGATTCACCTACACAAATACATTTAAGTAAAAGTTTTATAGGTAAGCGTATAACTAAACATATGTGGTACCTAACTTGTGACAGATATTATAGTTTCAGTAATAAGAAAATTAAAATGTGGTTTTCTGATTTTTTTTATAACTAAGTCATGTTTTCAGATTTCTTAAAACCCACAGAATATAAACTTGCTTTCTTGATGGCAAAAAAACCACATGGCATTCAGAGACCTTTTTTTCAGGAACAACTATCAACAACCATCTGTCTTGTACTCCTGTTAATTATTATGTAAGTGTCCTCGGCTGTCACCTATCCTTCCCTTCCTGCTGTTAATCTCAATTCTAATTGGCTAACCAGAGCAGATCAAGCGAAGCCCAAGAATAGAGCTATAAACAGACCGACAGAGATCTGGGTGTGACTGTGGGTGTCTGTGTTAGAGCTTAGCAGAGTGTGGTCTCTGTATTAGCAGAAGTTGACATTTGCACAAGGGAGTAGAAATATTCTTTTTCACCAGAGTTTTGAAGAGAAAAAAATTATATATAAATAATATTTAAGAATAATTTCGATGTGAATTAACTATGAATGGTGACTATTTTCAATTTCCTGCAAGTGACATATGATTTCAGTTAAACCTGAAGCAAAAAAAACAAACAGTTAAAATCAAACCATGAGTTGTTGTTTTTTTCAGATCATCCATACATTTTCTAAATCGCTTATTCCCAACGTTCCTACTGGGATGGGTTCCAGTATACAACGGGCAAGAGGCGGGGTTTACCCTGGACGGTCCGCCAGTCCATCACAGGGCCACATAAAGACACACAACCACATTCACTCTAAGGTCAATGTGGTGAGTTCAATCAACCTAACATGCATGTTTTTGGACGGTGGGAGGAAGGTGGAGTACCCGGAGAGAGCCAACGGTGACACAGGGAGAACATGCAAAGTCCACATAGACAGGTCCCAGTTCCCACTGGGACTTCAGCCCAAACAGATAATGATAATATGTTTCTTTAAAGTTAAATTGAGAAGCATTGCATGAAAGTGGGTTTACATTTTCTTCTTTTAGCTTATAGCTTTTGTTGGCTTAATGGGAGACTCATTATTTTGGCAACCAAATAGAGAGCAGAGACATGCGTTTGTCAGGCTGGCAGGGAGAAACCTTTCTGGCCAGTAGAACAAAGTGTTAAGAATTGAAGTTTATTTTAATAACGCAGTACACTTTTTGTGAATTTGAAGTCAATGGAATTTTATTTTTATCCTTTCCAAAAACGCTCACATCGCACCAAATATTCTCACATAGCCTACCTAACATAACATACATATTAATAGACAGCGAATGTCGAGTCCATTCACTGATTGTGAAACCTAAGCAGCATTTAAAAACAACAATTACATAAAAGCGTATTACTGGGAAAAAGGATTAAAGGAGTGATTACAACGGACACTGTTTATCCACCAATCCACTTGGCACCACGCACACTCGCGAGTATGTGGGGTGTACCCGCGCTCCTGGCTTCTGATGGAGCATGTGCAAAACAGACGAGAGATTAGCGCTCCATTTGATTCCTAACGGTTTGTTGCGACGGCGCATCTGTTAGCTAGAATATTTTCTGAGAGCGTTTATTCAGTCTCTCTGTTGAGTTCTCTTGAGTTGTACCTGCCTTCTACGATTATTCTTTTATTCCATCATTGTCATTTTGACGCTAAGCAGTTACAACTATCTACCTCTAGAGTTGGATGTAACTTTAACTAAGGACACTTAAGAAAAATGGGTGTGCTTATAAGTGAACCTGTGATATTTAGGGTACTTTTCGGTGGACATTGTGCTCAGTATAAGTAATACTTCCCATTTGGTAAACACTTAAACAAAAAAATATAGCAGTCACCGAGCAGAAATTATCACAGGATTTCTTGTCTATTGAGTCAAATGGCAGAGGATTATGAACAGTCGGAATTTATCAAAGGTAAGTTTTAGATTTTTCAAGGAGTAACGGCATATTTTGGAAGGTATCACTTGGTTTAGTACAAAATGAATTAGAATTAAATACAAGGCTTGAGCTGCGTTCTCGTTTCTCTATTTTGCCATGGACAAATAGAAAAACTGCTAAAATATATTTAAAGTTGTGCCAACACAATTGTAAATAATGTATCAGGCGAAACAATTCTAAGGAGTTTGAAAGTCAATATTCTTGAGTTTTTTGTCAAAATGATTAAAGATTGAAGATGAGGAATTGATAAGAATATAGCAACCCATAGAAGTAGTTGCCAGTGATTAATATATTTTTCTTGTGTAGTTACAAGAACACACAACTCTTACACCTAATGTCAGGTCAAGATTGTAATGCATATAATACATTTCAGTTCCATTTCCAGTTTCCTGAAAGTTTTGAATGAATTTCTGCAATGAAAAGATATGGCAAATGTTTGGTTATTTCAGAGTCCCCTCATTCCTGCACATACAGTGTCCGTTAACTTGTGTTATTCATGGAAAGAGATGCAGCTCGGAAAATGGATACATACTTTGTAACATGGCTGCTGATGGCAAAATGTCTAAAGTTAAGAAAGTCAGGTTAAGACTTGTTGACTTCAATCTTTTTTCGTTGTGTTTGCCAACCTGTACAGCACTCTTCTTTTAACAATCAGCACCACAACTTCCAAAGCAGTTCCTTGTCATTCTTCTTTATCAGTTAGTTTATATTTTTTGGGTAATTGCTCTGAGGCTTCTGCCTGAACAAATGGTTCTTCACCAGAGACTTATAGTTGATAAACTTTGCCTTCCTCAAAAATTATGGTCTAGTGTGTCCCTTCTGGTAAACAACCTCCCTTTTGCATTTCTAGTCCAGGTAAATCCCCAGTTATCTGTATTTCTTAAACCTCTCCAATTATTTATAAGAATATACATAGTTTTTTATGTTCTTCTGGTCCTACTAAATTCTACAATTATCTTTTTTTTTTTAATGAGGGGATTGTTCATATATCTTGTCACAAAGAGATTATTCGTTGTAGTCAGTTCTCTTTTTCCATCACTGACAATCTTGAATATGCATAGTCATCAAGAAGTTAATCTAGAATTATAAGAAATTAAGGTGAGAAACCTTGGCATCAGGATGTCACGGCACCTTGATTAGGCAAAGTGACTCAACAATGTTTTGCATAAATTATCATAAACACTTACTTTTAATAACTTTATCATCAACCAAATTTCCCTGCATATTTATCTTGGATAAAGGACAGTTTAAAATATGAGGTCAGAACTGTCAAAATTTCTTTCATAAACATATATTTGTCTGCACGCTACAGACCGGCTGTACTTTGCCACTCTACGTGTGAAACCAAAGACCTCTGCAAACACACACTATTTCAGCACTGATGAAGAGTTCATATATGAAAGGTATGTTTAAACATTCTTGGCTTTATACTAGTTGATGTAAACTACATGTGATTAAAAAGTTCCATTGGATAGCTGTAGGTTTTCAGGTTGTTTAAAAGTTATTCTTATTCTCTGAACAATTAAAAGGGTTTAGTTTGAGAACATTTATATTTATAAACTCAAGATAAATGATGGAACAGACACATTTTCCTTGATTAAAATCAGTCAACATTTAAGTTTAGCTAATTCTGTTCTGATCATGAAACCCTTATACAGAATATGACCCCAGATAAACTCTTTGAAAACTTAATTAAAAATTTTAAAACTTTAAAAGGAATTCCACATTTAAAAGGAATTCATCCAATGTAACGAATTTACCTGTTGCTAGTTCTGAAGCTTGTAGGCAACAGGGTTGATACATTATGTTTAGAATTAAATCTGTCAGTGCCTGGTGACAATTTCATATGACTCAACAGTGTCACGATCGTCAATATGTAAAATATTTTTAAAACTATTAAGCTGAAATGTGCTAAATTCATTGTTGTATATATTGTTCTGTTGGCTTATGACACACCCTATAGCACAATGAATATGCAGATATTGGTATTATTGGTGTTATTGGATTAGATTAATCTTGTAAAAAATATCTACATTCAAGACTGTTTGATCTGATGTCACTTCCACTTTTTCTTCTTGCCAAATTATGAGCTCTGATAATCTGAGATGATTATGTTTAAAAGGGTTTTTCCTTTTAGCCATAGAGAACCAAAAACAGCAACCAGGAATAAATAATTTTACCAAGAATCAAGTATAAGGTTATTTTCTTTAGATCCAATGCTTATCCTTAATACAGGTAGATATTAATTATTCATTTAACCATTTTGATGATTAAATAAGCTAAATTAGCTTATAAGGTAATATCTCTTTTTTATAGTACATTTTTTAACGAATGTAATTCGGGAAATCTAAATGAATAGAGTGGAATATCAGTTTTTAAGAGCAATAAATTGCTTGTCAGGAATGCTAATCTACCCTGGTACATGTGAACTTTCAAAATATCTCAGGTCATTAAGAACAGGTTTCGATTAGAGTTAGAAATTGTAAGAATAAACTCTCACCAACTGCTTCTGTTTAATCAATCCTTGAAACTTTCCTGTTTATCCCAGCATTTGATAAATTGCATTACTTGAGTTGAAGTACTTTGGTTTTTAGACTTCGCCCATTGTCCAAAAAAGGAACGCTTCTTTGATTTGTGATTCTATCGTCTATGACTGAGTATGAGTTTGCGTGGCCTGTTATTGACTGGTAACTTTGCTGTGGCTGCATTAAGATGCATCACTTCACTTTGAGTTTTTTTTGTCATGCCACTGCCCATCAGATGCCTGTACACTCCACTGTAGAATATTTGCAACGTCTTGGTGTAGATATGGAATGGTGAAGATAAATAGATAGTTCCCTCTGGAGCATCAACACCAATCTCAGTATAAGTAAATGTTACGTGGATGTGTAAGGTACCTCCTTGCCTACAAACACACAACCACAGTTTCACACATCTGAAAAACGAGTTCCAGAAGGATAAGTAATGGGGAAAAAGGTGATGAAAGGTATTCATTTGCTTATTTAGATGAGCCAATATGTATATATATCAAACCAAGTATAGAACACTCACTTTTTAATTTCAATGGCTTTCTGTTCTTCCTATTTAATGGTGTGGAGAAAATATATGTCTTATACATGTACCTTATATTTAAGAGGAATGTCGTTACAGTTAGACTGAAAACAGTATTTGTAAAAGAAGAAAAATCTTTATCCTTAGTAACAAATTGACCCATTCCCCTATTTGTTGAGCCAGTGATTATGATCCCATTGAGAAATGTAGGTCAATATTAGATCAGTGGCTCTGTCATCATGATACAAAGAGATTTAGTGCAAAGGCTGGATGACGACATTGAGTCAGGACACTTATTCATGTATGCAGACAGGTTTTGACAATGTTGGCTACATTACTCTGTTGCATCCAACATTGAGAGTAGTAAGATAAAAGATTCCCTGCCAATAAAAAATATGGATTAAATCAAATCTAAATGCTGAAGAATGAATTTCCATTATACTTTTTGGGCCTTGCTTATTAAGAAGCTTACTGTTTGTTACTGAGATGTTTAATGATTACTCCGATCAAGAGGCTCAAGCTGAAACAATTTTAAACTGCTCTATGTACCTGAGTTTTTGTTGAAGTTCTAAACTCTTTCAGTCACACAGGTACAATGGGTTAAAAAAGAGCAAAAGGTGCAGGCAAGTGTTTTATATATATTTAATGTTATTGTTGTGGTTTAGTGGTAACTAGACACCCACTGTGTTAAAAACGTTTAGCAGAATATATATTTCTTAATCACATAAGTAATTACAAAGTAATAGAGCATAGATTGTTTACATTTAAAACTTCCTTTGAAAGGTGTTGACATCTTAATTAAAGCTGCCACAATGGTCATGCTGCTTGACAAATAAACAGTTTTCAACAGTTTTTTATGAAAAGAGTGTTAAGAATGGTGGAATGTGTATCCACATGCAGAAGCTTGACCAGGAAAAGGAGAATATCTTTAAAAAAAAATAAAATAAAGATGACAAAGTACAACAAAAAGTCTCCATTGAAAAACAGGAGAAAATTATAAACCTAATTAACCCGTTAAAAAAGCTTTATTCTCTGGAATTAGAATGGTTTAAAGAAGCACATAGGAAAACTCACTAGGACACTGGTTCAGATTGAGAACACGAAAATTTGTATGTTTAGGCAATCATAAGTAGAGGTTCTACTGTATATGGAAATACGTATGAGGACCCCTAAGTAATGTGCAAGATTGCCCTTAAAATCAGATTTGTAAATTTAGCTAAAGGTTGGCGGTTGAGATATAGAAACTTACGTTTTACCATAAAGCATTGAATTTGCCAAAATTGTTTGTGTGAAGATATAGAATTTTGATAAGTTTTCCCTATGAAAGGCTTACACATTGTATTTTGATAGGCTATACATGGTATGTCAAAACAGAAAGTATATAACTTTGTCTTATCAGTTTAGATTATCATCAGATCAAATAAGTAAAATGTATATGATTTGTAAATTATTTTGAATGTTGAAATGTCAATGTTTGGGGGGCTGACATGACCAAAGAAATTTACAAAAAACAATGTTTAATAACTAATAACTAATCATATCTTAAGATATATGTGATCAAATGTAAAAATGTAAAGTGTTAAATACAAAAAAGGTGTCCACAACTTCAGACAAGTGGTTTGGGTCAACAAGGAGATTTATTCTCTCCAAGGGAGAGAAGAAACCCCAGAGGGCAATGGTCTCGGCTTGGAGCAGAAGCTCCGATGATGGTATTGGGGATCCTTAGGAGGGTAGTTGGTAGGGTTGGGCGGTAATACGGTAATAAGGTGTACTGGCAGTATCTTTTCAAAAGATTACAGTATCAGTTTCAATACCGTCATTACCTTCATTAAAAAAAATAAGATATATGGATTACATATAAGATATAATTACATCAATTCCTAAAATGATTCTATGTCCAGAAGCGCTTATATGTGGTTGAATTTTTAGTTTTACTTTCACAGTAGTGAGAGTTTTTATAAAGTTTATGAATCACGTCTGTGAAAGTAAAAATGAAAGTGACAGCGTGGAGGAGAGAAAGCTGGTAAGTCATGCAACCGAGTGACCTCGTCACTAGGAAGAACAAAACTTCTGCAGTCTGCCAATATTGTTATTGTTTGTTTGTTAGTGTTTGGTATTCAGTTTCTGAATTGTGTAAGCACAAGAAAACAGTTTGGTGACACTGTCTGAGCCTTATGTCATAATTTTTAATCAGTCACGGGTAATACCGTTTACCGGGTTGAAATGTGGAGACGGCATGAAGGTATAAAAATTTGGATACCGCCCAAGCCTGGTAGTTTGTTGTGGAAAGGCAGTGGAGGGTGGAAGGCAGCTGATTAGTGGTTCCAATGGACCAAATACCTTTGCTGGAGAGCCATTGGACAGAGCAGTGAGAAGCAATGTAGAGGAAGGAAGACAAGGAAATCCAAGGTTGTGGACTGAAACAAAGAGCCCAAATGCCACATTGAAATGGCAAGATCAAGGTTGCTCCTTGAGGGTAATGGGTTCCAGCCTGATCCACTTCGGATTGTTCCTCCTGGAGAAAGGTTGGGGAAAAAAATTATACAGAAAAAACCCCACAGCTCTGTAGACTAAACGGTATCTTTCTATCTGTGTGAAGGTCTTTGTAGTAACCGAGTGTCCAAGAATCGATCCAGTCAATCCACACTGAGGCAGGGGACTTGAGTTGTCATTCTTTTACTTAAGGAAAATCATCCGGCAAAATACAACTGTTCCACCTGGAACGTCCCACACTGAAACTGGCCCCCGGAGGGGCAACCCCCAATTTGACTATAGTTCCGTCCCTAATATTTCCCAATATATAACAGTCTTGTATTGGACAAAATTTGGCTTCCTATTCAACAAAAGTATTTGTTTCCGTTTCATGCTTTTTGTAATTTTTTTGTGAAGTAGGAAACTATTGGATGTGTTTGTCATAAGAAAAAACAGAGCCAGTGTCTAATATTCAGATGGATCAATGCAATTAAACATCTGCTCCACTGAAGTGTGGACATACTGCATGAATTGAAAAATATATTTGATTGTAAACAACAGTATCTGATAAACTTAAAAGGTTGTACTGAATGGCATTATATTCTCTCATTTCCCAACATGTATGTCATTTCTTATATACTAATCTTCACAGTACTCTTGCCAAACAATATTTTGCACATTCTTATAGACATATGCATTCCATGGTTTTTCCCCAGTCTTCAAGTATTAATATTACTTAATCAGCATCTTATAATGCTATGGAGGAATCTTTCCCTACAATTATTGCTTCCATTCCTTGAGGTTCTGTTTGTATACAGCTCTTTTGACATCCCAAAACGGTTTTAATTGCTTTCTAAGATCTGGACTGTCACTGGGAAAGTACGACCACCCAAATAATATCACATCTTAAATGAACAAAGCAAATTTCATGTTAAATAAAATAGAAATAGAGATTAAAAAATACTAAATTATTTATTAATACCTATGAGTGAAATTCTAAACTATAATTAAAACTAGATAATACAGAGATAACAAATCACTACACATAGACACAAACAATACAATGGTGGGACAAAATGTATGACACTAATACAATATGTAAAAAAGAAAAAAAAACACAAACCATTTAAAATAGTGGCAGTAAGGGGCTTCCGGTTTTGGAGATGGCAGAGTACGTCACACCCTGGGAGAGCTCTGTTGAAAGTTTGACTTGATCCGTGCAATACGTGTTTCTGTACATCACCCAGCCTGTGCAAACCTGTGTGGACCAGTGTGGAGTGGTAAGGACCATGGACAAAAGCAAGAAACAGTGCCATTCTGCATCTGAGCAATATTAGATGGAGAGCGATAACATGGTAACTAGTCTAAACATGCTACATGACAGCAACACACAGCTAATGCTGGCCGACATGGAGACTCCTACTCAATATTGTCGACTCCTCTTCATCTCATTCACCTGAAATGGCTAAATCTCTTGATGCTGAAAAAGCATTCGAAAGAGTTGAATGGCAATATTTATTTTTTACCCTGAACATTTTTGGCTTTGATGACTCATTTGTTTCCTGGCTAAAACTCATCTCCTTTACATTCTGTAGCCTCAGTTATCATCAATGGGCAGCATTCTGAAATTTTCTCCCTTAACAGAGGCACACAGGAGGGATGCAGCCTTCCCCCCTACTTTTTGCCATTGCCATAGAACCTCTTGCTGCTGCTCTCAGGCAATCAGCTGACTTCCTAGGTAGAGAACAGTGGGGCATTTCAAACAAGATATCCTAATAAGCAAATTATATTATTTTGTATACTGCAGATCTGGTAAATTCTATTCCTGTCATCCTCCACATCTTGACTGAATTTGGGGAACTCAGGATATGAAATTAACAATGGAAAAAGCTAAATGTTTCCTCGTAATCAGTCTGCAACTTTAATTTCTGCTTCTCACCTTCCATTTAGAATTGTAGGGCGAGGCTTCAAATATCTTGGAAATTGAGAACAGTCCTACTTTTCCATATTATCTTATTTGAACATTTTAAAAAAGACATGGCTAGATGGGCAAAACCCATTCTAATCATAGCTGCTTGGATCAGTCCTATACAAATGATTAAACTACCTAAAACTAATTATCTCTTTCAAGGCATCCTAATTCTAATCAAAAACACTTTTTAAAATTTAGTGCAAAACAAAATATCATTTTATGGAGTGGTAAACCTCATTGAAAAAAGAGAGAGGGTCTTCAAAGTCCTAAAAAGCGTGCATGCCTTGCGTTGCATAACTTTATTCATTATTATTCGGCATGCAATATTAAATCCATGTTACACTGGAAGGACAGAGATAAACCAGGTACACTTGATGCTTGGGTTCAAATGGAAAATGCTAGTAGTCCAATTGACCTGGGCTCTGTGTTATTTTAATAACTCTCCCTTGTAATTTACCTATTTATTTAGTTGCATTGTAAATAACCTTTATTTATGCCTCCACAATGCTTGTGCTTTTTCCCTTTTATCTGCAGTAACGTGTAAATTTCCCCACTTTGGATCAATAAAATATTCTATTCTATTGTATAAAAAATGCATATGCAAGATATTCAAGAATTCTTTTTTTATTGGGTATGTTTATATAATTTTTCTCCTCCTTTTTAGATTTATTATGGCAATTGTTTATGTGTCTGTTTGCTAATTCAACAGTTAAAAAATGTATACAAATTGTTTAAACAAAATGGTGGCAGGAACATGGTGATAAAACTATCATTAACCTATGGCAAAGAACAGCAGACCAAGATTACAAAAATATAGTAACAAAACTGCTGACACTTTCCTACTGTTTAAAAAATATATATATTTCAATTACAGGAAAAATATATGTAAAACAAAGAGTATATATAACAGGTATTATATTGTGTGTGTGACAGTTTCTATGCAGACTTTGGACCCCTCAACCTGGCCATGCTCTACAGATACTGTTGCAAACTTAACAAGAAGCTGAAGGTAATGAAGAATTGCACTTTATTTGAAAATTTACTATTTTTTTATTTCAGGGGAAGGTCCATTGTGTAAGTTGAAGTCTAATTTTGTTCATTATGGATTTTGATTTTTTGTGTATTTCTAGTCCTTCAAAATGTCTAGAAAGAAACTGATTTATTACACCAGTTATGATCAGAAAAAAAGAGCCAATGCTGCTGTTCTCATCGGTTCTTATGCGGTAAATATATCTTATCTCTTCTATTTGCTCATCTGTCCATTACTCTGTCTGTAAGTATCACTGTTTATTATCGCTAACCCAGTTTGACTTCTGCCCTGTAGGTTATATTTTTAAAAAGAAGTCCTGAAGACACTTATAGAACACTAATCTCAGGAATCAATACAGGCTTTCTTCCATTCAGGTATACATACAACCATTTTTCCTGACAAATTTTAATGTTTATGTTTATAAATTTACCAGACACACTTATCCAAAGTGACTTGCAATGCAAATACACCATTACAGTTGACATCAGTCAACAATAAGCAAAATAGACTGGTCAGACTCTGTTAGAGGCAACAGTGTTGAGACAGAGGGATGTACAGAAACAGTAGTAGACGTGGGGGGGGGGTAGGGTAAGAGTTAGGGTAGGATGTACTCTCTGAAGAGCTGGGGCTGCAAAAGTTTCTTGAAGAACAGATGGGTATTTTCACTTTTCCAGAAGCATCTGGATTGTCTAAAGCGTGGTGTAGGCACTGCTAGACGACTATCCATTAATGGCTGGAGTGACAGAATTGTGACATATGCCTTTGCAAGAGTATTCAAGAAGATTGGGGACATGTCTGTAAGCACTTTGTAGGCTAACATCAGTTAATTAAATTTAATTGGTGCAGCTAGGGGTAGCCAGTGAAGCTAAATGAATAGAGAAGTGATGTGGGACTTTTTGGGCTGCTGCCACATCCTGGATCAATTGTAGAGGTGTTACAGTACAAGCTTGTAGGCCAATCATGAGAGCTTTACAATAGTCAAGACAGGGCTAGACTGCACCAAAAGCAGGGTGACATGTTGGGTAAGGTTCAGCCAGAGCTTTCTTTAGTTGAGCAATGTGCGACACCATCAAGCAACAGAGGGAACATGATCTTTAAAGGTCAGCTGGTCGTCATTCATGACACTGAAGTTTCTAGCTTCCCGAGATTCAGTTTGGATGTGAATTGTTTTGTGTGGCTGGGTTGGCTGGGAAGACAAGCAGTTCAGTTTTACAGAGATTTAGTTGGAAGGTGTGGGCTTTGTACATTCTTCATATAGAGTTGTTTTTTCATGTGATGAAATCTTTCAAATCATCCATCCATTATCAATACCGCTTATTCCCTGATGGGGTCGCAGGGGGAACTGGAGCCTATCCCAGTGGTCAACGGGCGAGAGACAGGGTACACCTTGGACAGTCCGCCAGTCCATCGCAGGGCCACACAGAGACACACAAGGACAAACAACCACTCACACTCACATTCACTCCTAAGGGCAATTTCCCCAATCTCCAATCAGCCTAACATGCAGGTTTTTGGACTGTGGGAGGAAGCCAGAGAACCCGGAGAGAACCCACGCAGACACAGGGAGAACATGCAAACTCCACCCAGAAAGGTCCTGGTTCCCCCGGGATTCGAACCCAGAACCCTCTTGCTGGGAGGCGACAGTGCTAACAACCACACCACCGTGCCGCCCCTCTTTCCAATCAACCCAACTTAATCAACACATCTATTTTGTCATTATAATTAACATCAGTTGTGTGTTCCTAAGAGCTGGAGTGAAGGCAATTTGACTTAATCCTGGGTCTTGAATATGCTTTCACCTCTCATGCGTAAAGTCTTCCTTAGTTCATAGGTCATAGTCCATTCCTTTACCAAAATTCTTGGATTACTGTGACCTGGGTGAAGGAGAACCTACGCCAATATGTATGTCTGTGTTCCCAAAGGGATGCCGCAGTGGGAGAATGCTCCTTCAGCCTCACTGTCCTAGACTGCTTACAGGGGATACGAAAGGTGAGCAACATATACAACAAAACCAAATGACTTAAGCTCATTAAGGCAAATTTCTCTCCAACAAAATTTGACAGATAGTTGAGGGCAAGTAATCTACACTAGTGCATTCTAAAGATTTGTCCTTTTTCTACTTTCCTCTCCTGCAGGCATTACAGCATGGCTTCCTGGATTTTGAAAGTTTTAGTGCTGATGAATATGAACATTATGAGGTGAGAAGCAGTGGGATTTTAAAAAACAAAACATCTTTTGATGCAGAGCCAGTAAGATGAATACTTAGTATGTCTGCATTTAGTTATTTCAAAACACGTCACAATTCAATTTGAAATGTTTTTATAAATTGAGCTATCAGATGTGATGGAAAATCTTAAAATATTTTCTTGAAGGTAGGAAAATATTAAGATAATCTCATTTAGAATTTTTAACTAAATAGAATTTCAATCCATGGCTCAAAATAACAAATGTAATTTTGCCTGTGAGTTGTGAAGGAAAAGGTATTATGCCTGCAATTTTAAATCACACTTCCGAAAAATTGGATTTTGTTTGCCTCCAAGTAACTATAGCTCAGGGAAAGAACAGTCACCTGCCGATAGAAAGGTCAAAGATTTGATTCTGAGCTAAATATCCAAGTGTCCTTGAGAGGCACACTGAATTCCAAGTTGCTGAAATGTATCTGTGACCTATTTCTGAGCTGCTTAGATGGACGGAACACCTCAAACATTATGCATAATGATGGACCACACACTATGATATATTTCTTATTTTAAGAGAGTTGAAAACGGAGACATAAACTGGATTATCCCAAGGAAGATTCTGGCATTCAGCAGCCCTCATCCTCGCGGTAAAACAGAAAATGGTGAGTCATACTTTGTCTAACGTACCCTATGAATTTGTTACATGCTATAAGTCTACCATGAGACAAATTAGGTTTATAAATAGGTAGGCATAGGTAGAGTTGTTAGGTTGAATAATCCACATTTTTACCACTAATGAATCATTCATCTTAAACTAAAATGACTGTTTGTAAGAGACAACGGTGAGGACATAGAAATTCAGCCACACAGGAATGATTAAGAGAATGAGTTTATTTTCACAGAGGGTTGATGAGTAGTGGTGGATTGTGAGCCTCAGGATTGCTGCTTGAACTTAACGAAAGGGGAATAATTGCTGAGTCCAGAATCTACATTCAGGGTCAAAAGGAAAACTATGGTCAAAATCAAGCAATCAGATGTCAGGTACTTAACACAGGGAGAAGGCAGGATTCGGTTGTAAAAAAAAAAGAAAAGTGTTTCCGCAAGGAGAAAGAATTCTGAAATTTTTTATGGATAAACTTTAGGTATGCAGGAATGACTGTCAATGTCCAGTGTTGCGAATGAGCTTAACTGATTGTGCCAGTTCAGCCACCGCGAGTGCAGATTCTCCAAGACAGGGGTTTGTCGTAAGACCTTTATTTTCTTAGTGGACATACACACGCGCACTCACACACAGCGTTACGCTCAGTTATTCCGTGGTTCAGTGACTGGATCCTGGCCAGTGGTTCTCCCTCCCCAGGTCCAGCACGCTACTGTTTTTAAACAAGGAGAGAGTGATTAGCCAACTGATTCCAGGTGTGCTAATCACCTCCCCTGGCACTGTTCCCCTGAGCCTTCCCCACACCTCTCTTCCTGCTGTTGAGCACCACGGCCCCCTCCACACTGATAGTTGCAGCAAGGGCAGATAAAGGTATCTCAGAATTTCCATGGAGAGTATGTTCTGTGAGCAGGATTTTCCAAAAAGTTGAAGCAAGATGAACTTTGAAATTTTAAGCCTTCTTGAATGGAGTTCATCCGAAATTTAGGAGAACCAACAAACTAGTGCCGAGCAGAACTGGCACTTGAGCTTACAAGTAGGAGATATTAGATGTAATGAGGATAAACAATAAATGTACTGCCACAGGAGCCACAGATATATATTGACTGAAAAATGTACCTTTATTTATATTAGAGATCAATAATGATTTTATGGAATAAAAATATGTTAGGTGGTATTTAATTAACTCATTCGCTGCCAAAGACGTCTATAGACGTCTTTTCAAATCCAACCGCTGACTGCCAAAGACGTCTATAGACGTCTTTTATGTTTTTCAATGCGAGTGGCTTGGGGGACAATCGGCGAAAGTTTTTCCGTAAATATCGGCTTCTAGACAGAGTATGTACTAACAAATTTACCCTCTAGGTAGCTGTGCCACTTTTGATGGGAGATTAGCATAGATTGTAAGCAAATAAAAACAAACGTAATGGTTCGCTATGAGAGAAATGGCGCCGGTGAGACGCACGTCGAGGAAGAATGGAATAAGGTAGAAACAATTTTTTTTTTCCTGATGATAGAAGAGAGTCTACTCTTTCTTTTGGTGTGTTCGGTGTTTACATAGTCATAGCACAAACTATTCTGTGGCTCTTGAAAAATCAGTCAAAATTCTCAAAAAACTCTGGCAGTGAGCGACTCTCTGTTCTGAAAATGGCTGGCAGTCAATGAGTTAAGCTATTGTGGAAATGACAACCCGACACTTACCGTTTTGTGCATTTAACTCTAAAACTTGGTAAATGTTCCCAATGCAATTAAATCTTTACAATTGGGAAAAGCTGGAGAGAGAATTTGGAAACCTGCTGTAGTAAGTCCAGTCTGGTGTAAGTCAGCTGGAAGTGGGGCAGAGGAGACTAGTGTAAACTAGTTTGATCTGGAATACATAGAGTGAAGGATACATCTGCAGTAAAGAAGCGTTCAGATTAAACAAAGTGCCAAATAAAATAACTTTTTTTAATGAGCTGTAAATACCTATATGCATCTTTGCTGTACTATTTATTCTTGTAGGATTGTGAGGGGGCTGTAGTCAATCCCAACTGTCATTGAGCAACCAGCAGGTTACACTTTGTTCAGGTCACCAGTCCATCAAAGGGCTGTAAAGATAAATCCTTAGCACTAATCATAGCTTTAGTCTTACAGTGAAAGAAGGTGTCGACCTTTGGATTCCTTTTACTACAGTGGTACCAAAGAGTGGTCCAGAAAGCCTCTATGTATGTAAACTTGCCCACTCTTTCTTTTTTAGTGAGCATTCAACACATCCATGTGTTTCCAGCAGGTTACAACTCCAGTCAGGGTGTAGCCATTTTGATATTCATGAAACTAAATTTTACCACAAATAGTACTCCTGCAGACCCAGAAGGCAGATTTATAACAGTTAATATGCTCATTTGAGATGTATTGCTAATAAATATGGTCCCAATGTTGATGACCCCTCATTTGCTAACTCGTTTCACATCACTCTGATCACTCAGACAACAAACTCTTCATAGGAAGGGACTTCAGCATGGTATTTAACCCAACTGTGCACAGGCTCAGTAGGACAGAGTCCACCAAGATTATTAAACAATACATGAAGGATCTTGGTCTTTGTGATGCATGGTGCTCCAAACTCACCCAACTCTCAAGGATTGCAAGTTTTTCTCAACATTACACCAATCACACTCAAAATTAGATTATTTTCTACTTAATAGCGCTTTACTGAGAGATATTTCAGAAACCAGAATCTACCCCATCACTGTCAGTGATTATGCACCAGTCTATATCACTTTTATGAATAGGTAAATTTGCTGTCTAAGAATTGGAGATTTAATATGTAATTACTCAAAGAGCCTGAGTTAATTAATTTCTTCAAGAGGGAATGATCTATGTACTTAGAAAACAACTACCTGTCAAGTACATCAGCTTGTATTCTCTGGAATGTTGGAAAAACCGGAATGCATTGTAAACAAATACAATTTTCCTCAAATACAAAAAACAAGGGTAATTCAAGAATGATGAATTGTAATTTAGAATTAAGCATTCAGAGGATGCCTACGATGTTTCCCAAGAACACATACTATACAAATAAGAAAAGCTAAACTAAAAATGAATTAAATGATAGATAAGAAAACACAGTTTATAGTCAGATCAGCTGAAACGACAACAAAGTTGATCATTGAACTGCAGCCTAGGGTGTCCTGGTGCCAAGAGCACATATGAACACCCTTTTGCCTGAACCCGTTGTTTGTTATGGACAATCCATGCCGAGCGCAAAATTCCAACAACAAAACACCACTCGGACATAAGCTGGTGGGGCCAATCCTCACAACCACGCCCCTCCAGGTCTCACTGTCATTGCCCACATGAGCGATGAAGTACCCCAGCAGAACAAGGGAGTCCCCAGGGGGGGAACCCTCCACATCCCCCTACCAAGGACTCCAAGAAGGATGGGTACTCTGCACTGCTGTTAGAGAACATTCAATTCAATTCAATTCAGTTTTATTTATATAGCGCCAAATCACAACAACAGTTATGTCACAGCGCTTTCCAAACAGAGCAGGTCAGACCATACTCAGAAGCTTAACGATTCCCACCAAAAGCAAGCGCTAGGTGACATTGGCAAGGCATGGGCCCAGTGCATCATGGGATATCCCCCGACAATCTAGGCCTATAGCTGCATAACTCCAGGTGGATGCACCTAAGCCAGCCCTAACTATAGGCTTTATCAAAAAGGAAAGGCTTAAGCCTTCTATTAAATGTAGAGATGATGTCTGTGTCCCAAACCCAAATTGGAACCTGGTTCCAGAGGAGAGAACTCTGATTCCGCTCTGAACGCTCTGGCTCCCATTTTACTTTTGAAGACTCTAGGAATCGCAAATAACCCTGCATTCTGGAAGCATAGTGCTCTGGTGGGGCGGTAAAGTACTATGAGCTCCTTAATATAAGTTTCATCTGGCTTGATCGATAGATATAACTGAGTATCATCTGTATAACAATGAAAGTTTATGGAGTGTTTCCTGATAATTTTACCTAAAGGAAGCATATATAAAGTAAAGAGGATTGGTCCGAGAACAGATCCTTGTGGAACTCCATGACTAACTTTAGCATGCATGAGGACTCATCGTTAACATGTACAAACTGAAACCGATCTGATAGATAGGACCTAAACCAGCTTAGAGTTGCTCCTTTAATGCCAATGAAATGTTCTAGTCTCTGTTATAGAATCTGATTGGTCAAATGCAGCACTAAGTTCTAATAAAACCAGTATAGAGGCATGACCTTTGTCTGATTCAGTTAGGTCATTAGTAATTTTCACCAGGGCTGCCTCTGTGCTATGACGAGCTCTAAATCCAGACTGAAAGTCCTCAAACAAGATATTGCTATGTAGAAAGTCACACAGCTGTTTGGTGACTGCTTTCTCAAGGATCTTGGAGATAAATAGGGGGTGAGATTGATGGTTTGGATGAAGAATTCACTGAAGTTAGATGGTAAAAATTGAGGGAAGGAGTGAGGACTGCGTGTGCACCAAAAGTTCTCATATTACTTAAAATGCTGTTACCATTTAAGCTACTAGCAATCTATTTATCCTCTCTCCAGGTGATCCTCTTCATACACCTGAAGCATATTTTGAATACTTTCACCAAAATGATGTAGTGGCTGTGGTGCGTCTGAACCGAAAATTGTATGACAGCAGGAAATTTGAGGATGCAGGGTTTGAACACCATGATCTCTTCTTCCTTGACGGGACCACACCCTCTGACCTCATCATTAGGCGCTTCTTGCATGTGTGTGAAAGAACAGAAGCGGCTGTGGCAGTGCATTGTAAAGGTGAGTCTGTCTCTCTCCGTTTCAATATGTTTGTATGTCCTGACATTCTTTTCTTTTTCTTCTTTTTTTTTTAAACACCCAAAAATAGCTGGCTTGGGACGTACAGGCACTCTTATTGCCTGCTATCTGATGAAGCACTTTCGCTTCACAGCAGCTGAAGCAGTTGCCTGGATAAGAATCTGCCGACCTGGATCCATCATTGGCCCCCAGCAGAACTTCTTAGAAGAGTGAGTTTCAGTCCTGGTTGTGGCTTAACAGATCTGTTTCTTGTTCCTGATTGGCATGCAAGACAGAATCACTTCATGCTAGGTAACAGCACATAAACAGTAATGTATTTAAAGTCATTCTCTGTCTATTTAGAAAACAGTACAGCTTGTGGGTGCAGGGAGATGTGCATCGCTCCAAACAGAAACTTGCTAAGCAGAGGCTCAGCAGGCGGCAGCATCTGCAGCATCTTTCCCAGCAGCATCTATATAGCTGTGACTCTGTGGAGAGAGGGGAGCAGGAGGCAATGTCCCAATTCCTGTCCAGCATGGATGACCTGTCAATCAACACCATCCTCTGCAAATCATATAGCTTGGATGAGGTGAGGAGTGGAACTTTGGGACATCTTTGGTAACTCTTTTTTTTCTCTTTTTCAATTAAAACAGCAGAGCTGACATTCACTTAATATCTCTTTTGTGTACAGAATAACTGTAAGGAAAGCAGTCTAACCCAGGGAGACAAATTGAGAGCACTGAATGGAATTTTTTTTTTTTTTTTTTTTTTTCCCTTGTCCTGTTCAGCATTATGGTAGTAGAACTGACATCTGCGTACCGTGCAATACTGAGCAAAATTGCTTTGCCAAGGGAGGCTTTGATAGTTAGAAGCCCCCCTTGATTACCCAAAACTTCTTTATTTATTCATTTTTGTTACCAAACTTCCGTATGTCCAATAATACCGAACTTGACAGAGGGACAGGGGGGAGGGAAGGGTAGTGGAAAGGAGAGAGATCCTTTAGAGAGAGAGAGAGAGGGGGGAGAGAGAACAAAAAATTTAAAAATTAAAAAAAAAGAAGAAGAAAGAAAGACAACAAGACCATATGACCAGCTGTTATGTCTGCAAAAAGGACACTGTTCCTTGTGGGCAATCCGAGTGGAGAACCTGTAGTAGCTGAATGGAAAATTAACACCAAGATCAGTCTCTTCCACTTCAAGGTTGGATCGTTATTTTATTAGATATCGTTTATGGATGGTTTTCATGCTGCCCATATGATATAAGCTTAGTTTATGCAACAGGCATAAACTAAGCTTATATCAAATGTGTGTATGTATGTATGTATGTATGTATGTATGTATGTATGTATGTATGTATGTATGTATGTATGTATGTATGTA